TTTGATCGGTCATTATCTAAAAGAAATAGTAATTATGGTTGTGCTCCTACCAATTGGATAGAATGCATGTTACTATTTGAAGCTTAATACCTTTTATACAAATCAGATTAAGCCGTAGACACATCTGCTTGACATCATTCATAACACATGTCCAAAAATTTCAGTTTGATTCGATTTGTAAAAAAAAAATTAAAATTCAAATAACAATATATACTCACCCGTCTCATCAAGAGTTTGACTCTTAGAAACATTACCTGAATTACTATTCATTTTAGGTATCGATCTATTAATAGCACTAGGTTGTTAGAGCTATTTCTAAGTTGCTCTGCAAACGTAAGAGCACATGGTTTGAGTCCGATGTTCATTGAGAGTACAATCTTATCAAAGCAAATCCCAAGTAGCAAAGAGCCCTTTCTTCTACTGAGTCCTGTCCAAGCAAAGCAAAGAGCCTTCTTTTCTGCAGTCCAGTAAACATCAGAAGACCCAAACACATTGACTTAGTCAAAGCACTTGTTTTGTAAGGTAGCCGCAAAGCTGTCAGCTATAAGAGCACGTGACTATGGCAGAGATTGTTCATTAGTTTCCAGAACTAAAATGAATTTTGTAAGTTCCACTGTACCGGTTTTATCAAAGAAAAAAGAGAAAGAGAACTTATAACTGCCCATCACATTCGATCTTCTCCGGTAACAAGTGACTAACCCTATTCCTTGGCATAATACTCAAAACTATTCTCTTTTCATCTTTGAATGGAAAAGTAATATAACCAAATTCAATGGGAAGCACACAATGCACGGCATGAACGCAATCGAATGCAACAAAAGGGAGCGAGCAAACCGTTTAATCTCAATGATAAGCTTTTAGATAGAAGATGTTGATGCGAGTGGGGAGTGTTTAGAAACTGGCATCCTCAGTTGAAGGCCTCCTTAGGAAGTACCTTAGGCTGTTTTTCAATACCTGAAAACCAACACCATACATATTAATATTCCTACCTTCCATCTTTGGAGGGTCAAATGGAGAGAGAGAGAGAGAGAGAGAGAGAGAGAGAGAGAGAGAGAGAGAGAGAGAGAGAGAGAGAGAGAGAGAGAGAGAGAGAGAGAGAGAGAGAGAGAGCTGTGCATCTGTGACCATCCATGTGTGTGACAATGCAGTGAATCAGAGACCGACCATTTCAGAGTCAGAGAGAGAGAGAGAGATGCATCTGTGACCATGCAGTCCACGACTAATTGCTTCCATCCAGTCATTGTGGACCTACTTCTCATTCCAGATGCAATTGTATGGGAAATGAACAGTGAGGATACGCAAGAACACTAGATCACAAAAGCTGAATTTTTTTTTACCTCTTTCCTTGGTTTGGCAAGGGGAAAACCCTTGTAGCTAACATGAAACTTTGATCTTGCTACCAGTCCCTGAGTGTAACCAAAACGGAACATTTTTTGTTGATTATTTTTTCACCTTTTGGTGTCTTCTCTAGCTAATAGAAAGAATTAAGGAAATGGAGACAACACGAAGAGAATACTTGTAGAAAAATAAGATACCACCGTAATCAAACTGGGGTAAAATTAAACTCACCTCTGTATCAAACTCCATGGACACTACTGATAAACTTATGTCATCAATCACCTTCATGATATCCAAGAGCAAACCAGGTCTATCAGCAGTTTCAATGGAAAGCAAGCTGAAATTAAGTTGGGACAAGATCAGAAGTCATCAAATCTGAGAGAGGGGAGGGGGGGGGGGAGAGAGAGAGAGAGAGAGGTGTAAAGAGGTTGTCTTGCCTCTTGGTTGGGCCTTCGTCAAAAATGGTTATACGGGTGGTCATGTCAACATCCAGCTGTGTAATAGACACCAAGAAATGTATCAACTATAATGTCAACTATACATAGGGAAACACAAAGGAAAGTACGCCATACATAAAATTTGATGGAATACTCTGCTGTGTCATGCATTACAGGATGCCGAGTAGTAAACTATGTAAAAGATTCAGCTAGATAGAGAAAATGGTCACACGTATCTTAACAAGCTCATAAGGATTTCTCATAGGAAGAAGGAACAGAAATCACTAAGAATTAGTTGAGTTTATTGTTAACATTTTTATGTTCTTAAAGAATTTTAAGGAACATGATCCATTGCTTATATTTACTGAAATTCACCTTATGTTTAGGGGGCATGGTGCCAAAGAATTCGCCCATAGCGAGCTGAATGCTTGTTTCCTGCAGAAAATAAACAAAAAAATTAAAAAGAATTCAACGATTACTTGACAAACACCAATTAATGATGATAATTTATCAAAAGAAGGATTTTCTTTCCATACTGGATGATATTTCAGCAAATTACTAATAACTGTAAGACGAATTGCCTCTAACAATTCTGGGTCATCCACCTTGCGACCTGTAGCACTGCCATTGCAAGTCCAACTGTTAGTATACCTTCTACCATTAATTGATGATTAATAGGAGGTGATCCCTACTTTATAACATACGAAAGTAATAAAATGATAGGAAGAAAGATTTGTACTTCCAGGGACAGTACAAGAGCTATTGGCACAATCGGGGGATTTCTTTGAAACAAAATTTTTTAAATAACAATATTTCACATCGTGAATGATTTCAAAAAAGAATAAAATAATATAATAATAAAAATTGAAGCTCTACATTTCATCATCTGCAAAACTAACACTCCAGAGTCATACTTGGAGTGTGGGAATTGAGATTGAGCCTTTTTTTAGCTCTAAATCCTGTTTTTCGTTTTTTCTCTTCTTTAGATTGTCTTGGAGACAAATAAAGAGGATTTGAGAGTATTGGGGTCACAAAATCCCCTTGAATAGGAGTTCTGAACCTAGGGCCAAATGCTACAGTATTGGCCCTTACGAAAATAGAATTTTTCAGAAACAGGTAGATGAAGATAAAAGTTATTAAAGCTCGAATGAGCTAGTCCACATAAAGGTTACTTCCATTTACAAGTGGTAACAGACATAAACCTATTTGCAAGAGGATGGTGAAAAAGTTAGTAACATCCTAAATTATATGTACACAGCCTAGATCATCATCTAATACGGTTTGAAAAGCTAACACTAAGGAAATAACAAGAGGAATCCTGTGACGATCATGGTTTCGCTCACAGAATTTCAAAGGATGCAGGTAATTACCCTAATGTTATTGAAAATATCTTATGGGTTCCAACAGAATCTGATGAAGCACGGCCTTCAGTGACGTTCAAACCAAGTTCCCTAAGAGACTCCATCTGAAGATACAAGAAAATCAGAGAAAGGGTCAAACTTTGTTACCCAAGCATTTTGTGGTTTCTGTACATTAGTATACACACTGCTTAACAATCACATGGAGGATGTAGTTGGTTACTATAAGGCTTGGCCCAAATGAACCATATCAAACAGAAAAATCACAAACAATGGAACAAAAAGTTTCCCAGCTAATGGAAAATTTACTTAAATGCATAATTGTTCATCAAAGGTTACCATATGAGGAATACATTTCTATATCTAATATAACATTCCTCAATTCGATGTTGGAATAAGGTAGAAATGAGTCCTAAAAGATCAACACATTCATGGTTAAATCCCCTCATGATCCAATCCATTTCGTTACAATTTCGACCGAGGGGATCGAATGGTATTAGTTCATTTGTTAGTAGCTTTCAGCCGTATATTGCAGAGTTATATAGCATCTCCAACAAAGATTTAAATCGAACTTCTCAGCCCAAATATCAACAACGACAAAGCTAAGAGAAAAATAAAAGAAATCCAAGGTGTCTGATGTGCTGAAATACAGCCCAATGAAGGAAAATGCTACAGAGGCTTTTTGGGATTTAGGATTTTCTTAGAGTAAAGATTCATCCATAGTTCATGTTTAACAATTCCATATTAGGATTGTCTCCTTTATGATTATATTATATCTTTAAATGGCAAATACCCAAGATGGAATGATTGGACTGTGCCTACAAGGAAGAAGAGGGATCTTATGCATTCAAAATTTCAATGTAGTGCTCAGTGTCATATTAATGTTATATCTATCATTATCGCAGAAATACTCCTTGGGGTAGGAAATGTGTCTGTTGAAATTTGGTTCTTACAAAGAACATATTTCAAAAAATGTTTGAGATGTATTTCTGTGCGCATTCTTTGTGTTTCCCTTACATTCCTCTGCCTTATTGCTCCTCAAGCTTTCCCCACGTAGAACTAGTGCATTTTCCATGTCACCTATTGTTTAGATGTACTGAAGTACTTACCTTGATTTCCCATCCAATTTTAGATTCCATGGCATCCATACATTTTCACATTGTTTTCTTTTGGTGTTTGCTTGTTCATTATTCTATAGTTTTCTGAGTGCTCCCTGTTTCCTAAATCATTTGTATTTTAACAAACCTATTGATCCTAGAAGCATCTCCCTAACCAATATCATGGACAATCTCATATGGAGGTTTAGAACTCCCCAACGAAAAATCCCCTACAGACTAGAGAAGAGGTGTTGCAGAGGCACCTTACTATAATTCTACCCATAAAAATAAATTCAGTAGGAGCAAGGGTAGGACAACGACTGGGAGCAGAAATGAGAGGAAAAAAAGGGAAAAAAGAAGAAGAAGGAATCCAGTACTATGGAGTAAGGACACCAAGGAGTCACCAATTAAGATCCTCCAAAATTATAGTCCTTAGTAAAGTATGGTTGCCATGTATAGAGAATTGAATACGTATCAAACAAATTAACAATGTACATGGGAATATATCATGTAAAAATAATAATAATGTGGTCCTGTATGACCAATCGTCATTTGGTCCCCGGGTTTCGACTCCTAGTCAAGGGAATTTGATGGATCCCAAACTCTCAAATTGTGTAGATAACACTCCAATATCAATTAAGAAAAGGATTTGAAGTTCAAGAAGCACACCAAACCAGATCCACTCAAAAACTGCATCTGGATCATTCATCTTGATGATGCCAGACCCAGGGAATATTGAGCTCAAAATCTTTATTTATTTGAAATTAGTCTTAGGATGCATCAAAGATATAAGAAAGACTTATGTCAGGCATACTCCCCAAATCAGGTATTTTGACTGCTTGATCAAAATGTAAATTATTTTCTAAGACTGTCTTTAGAGGTGTAGGGCCTCCGATGCTGGCCCAAATGGTGATTAGAAACTTAGAATGTAATATCTCAGAAGCCTAGATATGAATTCAAGTTTAGCTTCTTTTTTTTGGGATGGATAAAACTTTAGATAAATTCAATTAGAATCTAAAACATAAATACAACCACTTTTGCCTAAAAAAAAGGAAGACATATACACCCAAACTTGGAGGTTTTCTAAAAACTACAATCTTTTGTAAATTTATGAAATTTTGTGTCCAATATAATGTATGAAAAAGCAAGGTACGTGTAATGTTACTGTATCCAGTAGGCTGCCAAGTCGATCCCCAAAATATATCTCCACGACGGTTGCACATGGATCTGTATCTTGATCAAGTATCACAACTGGAACTGGATCACATCCATTCTTGAACCCATCCTAAAAGTAAGAGTTTTATGTCCCAATAATTAGAAGGGCAGAAATAGTTAAATAAGATCCCATGAAAGTGAAATGCCAAACTAATTATAAAATAAAATTATATGAGAATGAACATTATCTTGTGGGTTCACCCAAAACAACCCATACCTCTAAAATTGGCGCCTTTGTGCTTGATGACGAACAATGGAGTCTAGCATGAAACAAACATTCAAGGTTTCAAAGATATCATAAGTTTGTGTGCAAAATAATTCTGATACACATATCGGATCATGCCCAAAAATAACTTAAACTTGCATTCAATAGGCATTTAGTAAAACTCATCATCAATTTATCAATACTATTTATGAACTGAAAATGCCCACAAGTTTTCATTTAATCCATTTTTTTACTCCATGCTGAGTGACCAAATGAATCTTCCAAACTATAAAAAATGAATTAATATGTTCCAAAAATCTTAAGTTAAAGCCTTAAAAAGTCAGAATTCAGAAACTTAGATTAATCTCTATAAAAGCACATCAATGATCACTGGACTAAACAGCAGACTACTAAGTGAGAAGTATCATACCCTAAGCTATAATCATGGTTAATATCAATCTGATGACTCATTTTGCTAGCAATCAACCAAAACTGAAATCAATTTTCAGTTAGCAATATAACCTATTCAAAAAAGATCATTGACATTCCTTTGTCAGATCCTAAAAAATATTATGTTTTCTCTTAAAATGTAAAGCATAATTACTGAACTGAGTATACCTGTGATCTTTGCCTGATTTTTTATGATTATTCGAAATCAAAAGATGCGACCTCAATGGAAACCCTAAAGGGTTGTAATTTGCAGGGTTGCAACTTTCTCGGCAACAGTTTTGGCAAATTGCGCCTTGATTAAGCAGAGACAGAGCCATGAAAGCAAGAACGTTAAGACCCTATCAAAAAATCCCAGAATCAAGCACAAAACTCTTCAATCGATAGAAAATTAGATAGAATCCCTAAATCATTAGGCAGATAAAAAAACATTTCAAGAATCAAACCAGAGAGGTCTGTGAATGAGAAAAGAGAAGATGAAGAAACCCTAAAAGATGAAGAAACCGTAACCCTAGATAGTCCGCTTCTTCGTAAATATGGGGAGAGAGGAGACAGGACAGGAGACGTATTTGGAGCCGAAGCGCTAGCTGTAACAATTTGCACAATCAGAGTGAGGATGTCTCAGTATTTATAGGTTTCGCTGTGTGCTGGCTTCAGTTATGAAGTGGACAAACCATCCAAAGTGCCCTGTTTTTTGGGAGAAATAACGAAAACAACCTCACGATTTTGGCAAAAACAAAAAGTCCCGTTGTTCACGTGGAAAAAACTCACGTCTCAATCTCTCCCTCTCATTTTCGTAAGGAAAATTAATTTATGTACATATTCTATAATTATTAAAATTAAAAAAATATAATTAAAATATAACAACATGTCTATTATGTCAATTTTGTTTTGTTCGATTAAGTTAAAAATAAGCTCAAATTTTGTCTTTATACTTCCCCATCATGCATATGCAAAAAAGTATAAATATAATTCAATAAAAATAGATTGTCGCATGCAAAATGTTGAAATTATATATATATATATATATAATCTAAAGTTCACATGTGACCATTTTAAACATGGACGTTGTTGAGCAGGGGCTCTTGATGAGAGAGTGAACGCTCTAAATTTCATATAATTAGATTTGTAAAAAAATTAAAATTTATATACAAAATGTAATTGTGACCGTCAAATCAGCCCAAGCTATTTTATTAGCCCATGAGTTGATAGGATCTTTTCCCTATATATATATATAACATCCATCTTGGATATACAGCCCCACAAAATTTTAAAATCAACGGTGTTAAAATTTTATAAATAGATTTTTATTTTTATTTTTAAAGTTTATTTTTTCCAAATTACTAAATGTCATTGTCGAGGTTATACATTTCTCAAAAGTTTGAATCTAAAATCTATCTCTAAAATAGATTTTAGAGAGAGAGGACTCATTTGAATAGTTCAGTCAGCCGACTCATAGATATGTATGACAGTTTGTAAAAAATGCAATACTCTCTTTCTCTCTCTATGCGTGTGTGCTCATTGTATGGATAATGCACACACACTCTCTCTATATATTCACATTGTGTGAAGTGTGAAAAGGGTACTCTTGTAAATGTGTTAATACATTGCTAAAAATAACACATTGCTAAAAGATTATATAAGATTATACCTTGCTAAAGGAGCATACCATGCATTTACTTACTTCGGTAAACCCCATTTAAAATAAATTTAAGAACACTGATTTTGGAGATTAACCTCCTCAACCTATAACCTAGCGATTATCCCCAAAAAAAGAAAGAAGGAAAATCAAACAAAGATTGTCAAATTTTCCACCAATCAAGTCTGTATTAAGGAACTTATAATCTATTTTGGTCCTTTTTTGAAAATATTCATCCAACAATTCTAAAATGGATCCTAAAGATAAAAAGATTTCCACCAAATAGGACTTTCACCTTGAGGAGTAAATATATAATATGCTCCTGCAAAGTAGGCCATACTGGTCCAGTGTTATAAATCGCCTTAAGCAATAGGAAATGTACCTGATGCAGTGAATGGAGAGACTATAACACAAAGGAGGTACAAGCTCAATTGGAGTCCATGTCAATGACTCTCAGCTGCAGTTTTAATGAAGAGACATGACACATGACACATGGTCTGTTGACTCCAGCTTCATTAGCATTGAAGGCAAGCTTCGATTTCACATGAACAAATTAAGTTGGTCTACGGTTGATCAACTAGGCAAGTTTATTTTTTTGGTGTCTTCGTCTATTACAACATAGATTAGTGTTCTATAATTTGTGTTGGGTTCACGAGGCTTTTAAAGGCCTTATGAATGCTTATAAAATGAAATGATATAGTGGAACATGAATTCAGTGGGAGTGTGGTTCCTCGTAGATCATACTAAGCAAATAATGGTTTGTTGATACCGATCTGTACTTAACGATCTAAGACAGTCGGATGGAAAAAACTCATATTACTTGGGCATGAAGAACAAACCGATGAGGGTTTATGGGTTAGCCCTTGATAAGATCGGAGAACATGCCCGGATGAATAAGCCGAGAGACTGTGTGACCCTTGTGTGTGATGGTGGCTCACAGAGATAGTAGCCAAAATCTCATCTATGTACCATCATACGGCATGCGTATCGATAGATCATTCGGGAAAGCTAGAAATTCACCTTTTAGGGTGAAGCGTATGCATGTGCGAGAGATACCTCTATGCACCATAGGAGCTATGGTCGCATCAGGTCTAGGTGACATTGATTCATCTCTAGGGGAGGACCTGGAATCCACTGACTGGGATTGCGATCCTTTGGCTCATCGGCCGGACTTTGGTGACCATCTAATGAGCCCCTGCTTGGACTGTGGGTCATGAAAAATACTAAGGTGGTCTGATAAAGTAAGTGTGGTCTGTAGTCCACATTTGAAAGTGGAGTGCCTCATGATTGTTGATTCCTAAACCACATGGATCTTTTTCCCATCAAATTAATTTAATTATGTTTGTTTCATGATGGAAATTATTTTATTAACTTTTTATGAACCCCTGGATATTTTATTTATAATTTTTGGATTTATAAAATTAAAGATATTGATTTTACAATTTTTTAAATATTCAAATAATATTTTAAAATATTTTTATTAATTTTAAATATATAAAAATACCATGGGGGCCCATTGTGCACATGGACCTGCTATATTTTTAGAATGTGGGGCCCATGAGTGCCTCCCTTGATTGGCACGCCCCACCCTTATTCTCTTTCCTATTTTTTTATGATATGGCATGTGGCCATATGGTTAGAAGATATTGACTAAATATTGACTTGATATATCTTTGAAAGATTTTATGGAAAGATTGAGTAGATTTATCCTATTTTATGGTATGCACAATATTTTGACTAGATTTAATTATTTAATTTTTATTGATGAGAAAATGGTTTAGGAAAAGGAGATAATGGTTCATACACCTTCCATAATATTGATGACCCATCTATGGAATAGATGGCTTAGATCTCTCACCCTAGAAGTCACTCTTGATCGACGGTCTATGTTCAATCTCACAAGAATATGCAAGTTAAAGAAAACCCTAAGAAACCCTAATCTTTTTCAAAGCCTATAAAAATGGATTGTCTCTACCCAAAATGTCTATACATTATCTTTCTATTTATCTCTCTTAAGAAAGTGTATCTCTCTCATGTTTGATCTCTCTCCCACATTGTGAAAGAACCTAAAGATTTAGGGTATGTAGTTCTTCTCTCTCCTATCTCTCACATATGGGAAATTTAATTAGGTTTCTAACTAATAAAGTCTTATCTCAGAATAATAATATTCTTTTGAATAAAAGGTTTAAGGGTATGGCTCTGATACCATTCAACGCCAAAATCTTCCCAAAGTTATTTTGTTATTTTGTTTATTTCTAGAGCTTAATTTTTATGATACCAGTCTAAGATATCTTAGATATACTAATAGGATGATAATAACAAATAATGAAAATGGAAATATATCAATCAATAACCAAATAGCATAAGACAATTGGTAAACTTTGATATTAAACACTGCTCTGAATTGCATATTCAACAAAACATTTATAAACTTTATTCACACTTCTAAAGATTGTACAACAAAGATTTATGACAGACAGAAACTACAAACATTCTAATAGAATAGAACTTTATACAGGCTGTATGACAGAACATAACTTTATACAGGCTGTATAACAAACATTCTAACATACTATATCAAAATATTTACAGACTCAGTAAAAGAAATCACCAAAAGAAAGGAAAGCTTACAGTTTACAAATGCAGTAGCTGCAGAAAGCTCTCCACTCGTTTGGACAATAACTAGGTAACCTACTAAGGTTACAATCACACATATATTCTAAAAGAAAGAGATTTTAGAGAGAGAATGGAGATAGATTGAGAAGGAACTTCTGGAGTCTCTGATTCTTGCTGCTTCTGAAGATGAATCCTACTATTTATAGGCCTGGATGTGAGATGGACTTCAAATGAGTTAATAACTTTGCCTTGCTGCTTTACAGATGGATGCTTTGGATTTGTCTGGCAGTAACGATAGATGGACAGGTGGATGGCAGCGACCGAAGGAATCTCCTTTATAAAAGATTAAACATGTGGATGGCAACGATAAAAGGAATCTCCTTTATAAAAGGGATACAGTAAAAAAGTAAAAGGGGATGGACAAGTGGATGGCTTAAAGAAGGAGGGAATCTTCTAGTGGATAGCTTTACGCTGTAGCTAATAACCTTTTGTCGAGTGGAATCCACGTGGCACTGTGGTTGCTTGTCTTATAGTGTCGGCAATCTTTAAAGAGGAATCTTGCACAGGTATGTGTCTTTTCTTGAAATGATTGCTTGAAATGACTTCTTTTGGATTATTGGGTGATTAAGCCAGGTCGGAGTCGGGTCATATTAATAGAGAGTCTGTTTCTGTGAGCAACCATGAGCAGACTGGTCTTCATTTTCTTCAGATTCTTTTTCTTCTTCATGTGAATCTGTGTTGTCTCTGCTTCTTCAGTGAAAATTTGTAATAATTGCTTTTCAAGCTCTGCTTTTGTGGCCTGAGGGTTTTGCTTTGTCATAAGGGATTTATATTCTGCTAAGCTATCAGGCTTCAAATTATGGTAGACAAAGACGTCCCACCATTTGATTGAAATTCTTTTTCCCACACATGGAATGTATTCATAATTTTGGGTATTATTTTGTGAAATTACATATGTCCATTTAAGGATCCAAGGAATCTGGTATAGAGCAATAAAATATAAGTGATAATCGATATTGGGATCTTTCCCATTGTGTTCAACAAATTTGGATTGAGATATTTGCAGGGATTCTAATATTATTTGGGATCTTGATCCCCATACCGCAAATCAATTTTTAAACCAGTTTGGGAATAGGTCAGTTACTGGCATTTTGAATTGGATGAACCAAGTATGGGAGTTATAGTGGTTTTGAATTGTCAGGACTTTATGCCATGCATCAATGTATTCTGAATATCGGTAATATTTATTTGAAAATTATGTGGATATTAATTTCTTTGATCTAGAAGGATCAGATCCCCATTCACTGAATTGTAATACTTTTCTTATTTGTAATTTTGAATATGATACTATTTTAGAATTTTTCTGGTAATAGTGTTCTATAGTAATAGAACCAGTTTCCAATAGGATCATCTCATACCATTCTCTGATTTTTATGCCATTAGAAGGGCTGAGATTGTTGCAGAGATAGTATTTGGCAACAATATTTGGATCATCATTTACATGAATATCTTCTATTATAGAATCTACAATAAAAGAAGTTTCTTCATACTGGGATCTTTCAGTAGAAGTAGTTTTCTTGGGTATTGGAGATTGCAAAAATACTGGTGTTTGTGGAGATGGTGAAGGCTGGCTGGAAAATGTTGGATAATTTATAACTGGACTATTTGAGCTACTTGGAGAGTATGGTGTAAGGTTTCTTATTGGTGATGGAGAATAGTCTGCTGGTACTATATCAATAGACATATCCATTGGTACTTTTCCTTTATTAGTATTCATAGTTCTATTTTTATTAAACAATATTAAAGCTAAAGAGGGTTTTTTTGGGTCAGATTGATCTGCTCTGCCTCCCCGGCAAAAACTTCACGAGTTAGAAAATCAGGGAGATGATTAGTTGAACCGTGCAAATGTTCAATAGTAAAATCGAAGGCTGAGAGAATAGCTTGCCATCTAGCAAAGATTTATTTAGAGACTAAATTTTGCACATCTTTAAGAAGAATGTCTTTAGCAGCTTTACAGTCATACGAATAAGAAATGTGGTATTTAAAATATCACTTTGAAACTTGGTAACGAAATGAACTATAGCTAAGATTTCTTTTTTAACAGTTGAATAATTTTGTTGAGTAGAATTTCATGCTTTAGAAGTATAACGAACTAATTGTTCAGTAGAATTTATTTTTTGTTTTAAAATTCCTCTTAAACCTAATTCAGATGCATCACATTCAATTATTTTAAAAGCATTCGGATTTGGAAGTGAGAGACAAGGTAATTCTTTGGATTTGAGTTTAAGTCTTTTTATTGCTTGGGTACGAGTATCAGTCCATTTGGGCTGATTCTTTCTAATCTATCATATAATGGTTTTGCATCTAAAGCTAAGTTTTCATAAAAGTCTACTATATAATTGAGACATCATAAGAATCTTTGTAATTCTTTTTTATCTAATATAATATCTGAAAATTTATTAGCAAATTGTATAGATCGGTCTATTGGTATAATTATTCCTTGAGATATATTATGTCCTAGGAATCTAATTTTGGTTTGAAGTAGACTCATCTTTTTTGCATAGACCACCAAGCCGGCATGTTTTATAGCGTTTATAAAAACATTTATATGTTTTATATGTTGTGGTATATCTTCAGAAAAAATTAATACATCATCAATATATACTATCATAAATTTCAAGTAAGGATTAAACATATCATTCATTATCCTTTGGAATTCTAATGGAGCATTTTTTAGTCCAAAGGGCATAACATTCCATTCGTATTGTCCAAATGGTACATTAAAAGCTGTTTTATGTATAACTTCTTCTTTTATTTGAATTTGCCAATATCCAGATTTTAAATCAAATTTAGAAAAGACATAAGCATTTAATAATCTATCTAATAAATTTTTTTTATTGGGTATGAGATATCTTATCCATTGGAGTGTTTTATTTAATGGTTTGTAATTTATTACTAATCTTGGATCTCTTCTTTCCTTTTCTACATTTTTATTTACATAAAATCCAGCACAACTCCAAGGAGAAGTACTTTTTCTTATTAAACCTTTTCTTAATAATTCATCTATTTTTTTTTTACAAAATTCTAGTAATTGTATATTCATTTGTATAGGTCTGGCTTTTGTTGTAATTTTAGATTTAGTAAAATTAGATTCATATGGTAAACTAACCATATGTTTCTTTCTATCCCAAAAAGCATTGGGTAATTCATTACATATTTCATTTTCTATTTGTTTTGTAATGTTTTAAATTTGCTCTATCATTTCAACAGATTGTAATTTTTCTTCTATTAGTTTATATTTGATTTCTTCTTTTAGAGAACATAGAAAATGTTCTTTCTGTTTAATGCTATCTTTGACTCTATTGATTTCTTTTATTTTTGGTTTATCTATGAATTCAAATTTTATTATATCACCTGCTATGGTTGTTTCTATTCCTGTACTATTTATAGTTATTGGATAAAGTAAAGTAAAAATAGTACACGAAGTATTACTACTTGACTTAGTCATTTTACCATTATGAATGGGGTATTAAAACAATGTCCATTATTACAGACAATAGCATCAGATAATTTATAATTAATAAATAATCTACTTCCATCAGCAGTATTTAATATTTGTGTTGTTTTATCAAAATATTTTGTAGATACTAAACCTTCATTAATGCAGTTTAAATCTGTTCCTGAGTCAATTAAAGTTAATGATTGGAAATTGTATTCTTCTTTTACTATAATTTTTACTAACACAAACCATTTTTGTGTAATAAATTTATTTATTAGATTTACAGAGTTATTATTTGTTTCGTCGTTTATTCCTGATGATTCAGGTTCTGTTATTTTTATAGATTGATTATGGTTATCTATTAATTGAGTAAATTCTATTTTATCTATATCTGATATATTTCCTGAAACTTCATTTTGTAATTCTAATTTTTTAATTCTATTTTTCAATTGTTGAACTTCTATCTTTACTTCATTTATCTCCTTTTTTAATTTTATAATTGTTGGTTCTTTTGCATTACATCCTAATTATTTCAGCAAAATTATATTCATCAGGAGGTTTTATCAAAGGAGTAGGTTTATTTTTTGCCTTTATTATATTAATAAATTGTGTTATAGTTTCTCTTTTTTCATCTGCGTCTGTAATTTTTTCTATCAAATCTAATATTAAATTATCTTCCTTAGATAGCATATTACACGAGCATTCTTGGTTTTCATTATCAGATTCTTCAGTAGTGCTAGTCCATACAAGATTTTCATCTTCAATGTTTCCTATTAATGATGTATCACTAGAACTTTTTGTAGAACTATCTTGATCGTATATTTGTATAATATCATATATTTTATTTCTAATATTTTCATCTAATATTATTGTATCTATTTTCTTTTTGACCTTACAATTACTTTTATAATGTCCTACTTTCCCACATTTATAACATAAAGGTAATTTTCTCTATCATTTTTTATATTTATTTTTTGGTACAAATCTTCTAATAAATTTTTCTCTTTTATATTTTCTATATGACTTTCTTTCTTTTTTCTCAGATTTATATTTTTTCTTTTTATAACTTTTGTCTTTAGATTTTTCAATATTGTAACCAAATTATTCATAGAAGTCTCCAAGTTCTTTTCTACCAATCATTCGTTGCTTATCTAATTGTTTCTTTAGTTTCATATATGTGCATAAAGCTAATCCTTTTGCACATATTTCAGCACATAATTCTCCTAAAGTATAAACATAATATGGTATTAAGTCTATTTTTTATTTTTTCAGCAAATATGTAAGGTAATCCTGCTATAAATTTTTCTTTCCAATGATCTAATTGACTGTCTTTTCTAGTTAATTGTCTTGAGAAAAATACATCTTTGTACCATTTATAGTGTGATAATGTTGGACATTTTAAATTGGGTAATAAGTCTTCATATATATATATATATATATATATATATATATATAT